ACGCTGCATTACGGTGCTGCGCTCTCAGCATTGCCAAGCCATCGCTCTCAGAGGCAATTGCCTACGACGCAATTCCTAGTTATCTATCTCTCTCTATCTTTGCGCTCACACTGAGCAGCGCGTTCGACTATCTCGCTCTTATGTTACTCTCTGAGCGAGGCTCTCAGTGCACACCCTCTCTCTCTCTCTCTCACACACAAGTAACGCAGTAGACTAGACAGACGACTAGAACAACTGTAAATCAACCAAATCAACTGAGACGCACAAGAAGTAGTGAAAGCGACAGTGAAAATACACTGAGAACAATCACATGGGGAATGAGTTGCTGAGTAACAAACAGACCGAAATACACTGACCGAAATACACTGACCGAAATACACTGACCGAAATACACTGAGAATATAATCATGTATTACTGCCGACTAAAATACTTACGGATAATCGTACATCTCGTGCTCTTTGCTCATGGCTGTTATACGATATCTGAGCTTCTTCAGCCACGCCACAGCACCGGACACCTTGGGGAAGCACTCATCCGTGGGTAGTTCCTGGAAAAAAAAGGCAAACTTTAGTTAATAAAAAATAAACCCAACTGCTACATTTACTTACATCCACACCCTTTGTCAGGTAGATGCTCTTGAACTCATTAAAGTCCTCTTTCACATTCATGATCTCCTCCTCGAAGTCATCCACTATGACGTGCATGAAGGGATCCAAATGCGCCTTGATGATGGGCCGCATCAGCAACATGCCGCCCAGCAGCAGGTCATGTGTGTCCTCGAGGGCCTTCTCAAACTGAAACGATATCATGCGCTCCATGGTGTCCGTTTTGTCCTTAAATTTCAGGCGATCCTGCTCGAACTGCGAGTTCTCTGCATCGGGATCCAGCGGATTGTACTGAATGTTTGTCCACTCGCGGTAGTTGTTGTTGAAATCTTCCAGAATTTTCTCCAGTGCCGCTGTAATTTGTCGCCCCTTGAGGCCGCCCATCACAATCTTCTCCAGCTTGATGAAGTCGCGGCCCGTGTTGAACATCTCCTTCAGTTCCTGCAGACGCTCGATGAACGCATCCAAACGTGCAAAGATCTTCTCCGGATGCCAGGTCCAGTCCTGCGAATTGAAGGTGGTGCCAATTTTGAACTTTTTCAGCGAGTTGCGGCACTCCTTGTAGATGGTTCTGCAGTTTCAGGGCGAGTATGGGAAAGTATGGGAAATTCGTTTGATGTAATGTAAATGGCACCCACTTGTAGTACTCCAAATGCTCAATGGTCGTGGAGATCTTCTTGAAGGCCTCGTCTATGTCGCCCTGGAACAATGAGTCGGGCTCTATGGTGCGTATGGCGCACTCAATCAGTGAGTTGTGGAAGGCCTTAAAGAACAGCGTCATATTGTCGAGCGTGTGAAAGTATCGCGAGTGTCCCCACACCAGGCCCACTGTCAGCATCAGTGGACGGATTTCGGGTCTGTTGTCATCCATATCATTCGCCTCAAATTTGTCCATTTTCTTTTTCTGCACAGAAAAGAGTATTAAGTCATCGACTGCTCTGTGTCCTCTCTCTCTCTCTCTTTCGCTTACCAGTGCCGTTAGGCATTTTGTTATGTCCCTCGCTTCGGCCAGTGCCTCGAGTACGAGCTCGACTATGCGACGATAGGACTGCTCAAAGATTGATTGGATCTTCTCGAGGACAAAGCCAATCGTCTTGATGCGCTTGTCGCCCAACTGATCGGCCAGACTCTCCAGATTCTCCAGCCTGGATTCCCAGAAGGCAAAAATGGCCTCGGGCACCGGGAACTGTTCCTTCGAGTATATCTTTTCGCCGGGCTTGATGTTAACCAGATCCTCCACCGAATCCAGCCATTTGACAACCATGAATTCGAGCGAATGCTTCATCAGGGAATTAACCACCGAAATGTCCCTGCAAGGATGGCGAAAGGTGGTGAGGGGTGAGTGGGAGGAGCCAACTCTGACTCTGAATCGTAAACAAAAGAGCAATTTGCGTCACGAACCCAGCGGCGATGGCCGGTGCGGCTTCCATGACCTCATCCATGCAAATGGGCAGTGGGAAAATGGTTCGATTGATGACCAGTCCCTTCATCTGGGCAATGCCATTGCGCATCTCCTGCGACTCCGTCTTCATGTCGTTGGCAATCACACTGGTCCAGCCCACCTGATTGACGGCGTTGTTCAGCAGCGGAAAGAAAACCTCATCGCACAGCACCGAAAGATTCGCCAATGGATTCGGCAGCAGATCGCCAATCATCAGCGACTAAGCGAACCAATGAAAAACCGGACTCGGTTGGGGTTCCAGTAAATGTGGGCAAAAACTCACGCTAAGCATATTCTCTTCGGTGAGAGTGAGGGGCGTGGAATTGCGTATGAAGTAGGCCACCTTGGCGCGCGGCTTCACCGGAAAGTTGTAGGTGGGATACAGCTGTCCGCCCGAATTGATGGTAAATATCAGGCGATGCCTCTTCGGATCGTTCAGGAACTCCATTATCAGATCCTGTCGAAGAGGAATTGCGAACGCATCGCTTGAAAAACCATTCGAGTGTGCACGTTGTGGAAATTGGACAACGCGACAAGGGGATTGTGTGCAGGCGTGGCACCCACTCTCCCTGTGTCGTGGGTGGGTCGCATTGGAGGCTGCGACTGTGGCTAATTATACTGCCAACGGACAACGAGAGCCTGGTGGAGGAGGGAGCAGTACAGGGGGACAGACAGACAGCGGCACAGCGGTAAATGTTGCGATTTTGCAAAATAATCAGAAAAGGCTCTCAACATTTTACGTAAAACGAAAACGAAAATGTGCACGCAGGGAAAAAGGGAAAAGGGGAAAATGTGCATTGCACATCGGTGTGGAGGCGGTCATTGGGGTATGGGGTGGTGGGGTGTGGCAAAAGTGCCTAGCTAGGCGCATCCCGTAAACGCCTCCTGGCCATTCCATCCGCAATCCAACTGAATCCTTACCAGCTACGTGCAGCGGCAGCGGAAGTGCTGCGGTCGCCATGTTGTTGCCTCTGTTACGTTATCTAATTACAAAGGAATTGTGCGGCAACGTCACACAGTTGCCGGCAGTTGCCGGCTGCCACCTATCCGCCTGCACCCCCAATACTGGCTCCACTGTCGCCGCTGGAGACGAGAGCCCAGAGCCGGTTCCAAACTCAGGCCACCATTCGACAGTGGCAGCAAAATATTATTTCTGTTCAAATGCACATGCCCATAGAGAGCAGCCATGCTGGGGGCCATCCGATTGATATATTGTGTGTGTAGGTAGGAGGCCTGCACTCGACAAAAAAAAGACAAGATACTTCAAAATATTCAGTGGATATCAAAGACGAAAAGCGAGGCAACAGACAGTAAATATATACATATTAAATATATACAAATCAACAAATGCTGGCTCGGCAAATACTTTCAAAAAATTATATGCGAAATGAACAAAATAAAATTGCTTTCTTTTCTCGTTGTGTGTCCGCCCGGAGACTGGCCCGCAGTTAGTTACATAAACCTACATAAAGTGAGGGAATGTGCAGACGAGGGGGTGGGGCACACGCATATGGGCCTAAATACACTTGTGTCTAATAAGTTTTATCCAAATGGCCAACGAAGCGTGCACCCACACACAAACACACACACAGAGACGGAGCACCCCCGCCGCCTTTTTTTGGCCGGACAATGGCTGGGGGGGGGGCTTTATACGATATAGGATGTTGGGCTGACGTAGGGTTCTCCATGGAGGTGGCACATAAACAAATGAAGGGTCGAAGCGAGTTTCGGGGCTGAGGCTCAGCTGCGTATGCGGCATATTTGAGCGCGCATGGCGAAAAATTGTCAAACTGCCGGCCGTGGCCCCAAAGTCAGTTAGGCTGGCAATCTGCTTAGCCGCTTTCCGCTGCCTGCACCACCCATCGGTCTCCACTATCCAGCCAGGCAGCCTGGCACTGGTGCACTAGCATTTAAATTGTGAAAATATTTGGACGCTTGTTGTGCACACTGCCAGGCTGCCTGTCCGGGCAGGGCCTGGGCCTGTGCTGGTCGTTAAATAAAAATTGAAGTTAGGTTTTTTCGGGGCCCATTTGACCGTTTGCAGGTGGCACGCAGTAACAATCTTTAAACAAACGGGGTCAAACGGGGGTGGGTCAGTGGGTGGGACGCTAATTGCGTGCTTGTCAACACTCGAAATAAAAATAATATTTGCAACAATTAAAAGAGCGCCAACGCCAACAAAAGAGCCAACATTGCCGAGCAATTCAAAGGCGAAAAAGGCGAAAAAAGGCGAAAGGGACCACCAAACAAAGGGTGCCCCCAAGGCTAACACAGCCGTCACCTGGTGCATAATTTTTCAAATTATGAATGCCAAAAGGGACAACTCCAAGGCAAATTATGCAAACTGTAAATGCGCCAAAATCAAAGTAAATATGCCACAGGGTCCGTGGCGTCAAGTGAACCGCAGGCGTTGAAAAGGCCCCGAAAATTCGTAGCAAGGATCTGCTGCTGCACGAGACCTTTTTGCCCGCCGCATACATAAATTCTATTCGTGCTCAGCGACTGGACACAGACAGCAACAATTAGTCATTGTGTGGCGCTTACCTTGTACTCGTTGGTGGATATCAGCTTGGTCCATTTCTCCAGCTTGAGGCGCATGGTCTTCGACACATAGTTCCAAAAGAACTCGGGCCGATTGTCGATCTGTGTGACGGGACAGCATGAGGCATGAGGCATGAAGGATCGAGGCGAGGCAACACCATTGCAGAGCCGTATCAGAGTCAAGTACCCACCACTTCCTTTTTCTTATCCTTATCATCGTCAGCCATTTTGTAGCAGTTGCTGGGCCGATGTTCTGTAGTTCACAAAATAAAATTACTTGTGACTTAAATCAACAATAAGTTGACTTAGTCTATGACTGAATTATCTGTGCAGTCTCTGACGTTGTGACTTATTTTCCCAGTGGATATTTGCCCGACCCACAAAAACCCAAAAAAATGAAACTTAACATGGATTTTATAGTTGGTAGCTTATTTAATTTATTGACTGCAAATTTTGTTGAAGAAGACCAGCATTGTGTGGGCTAACGCGTGCCTAATGGATCAGGGGGATACGCTTGGGCAGATTCTTCTTCAGCAGCTTCCAGTTGATGCTGGTGGGCACCGCGTCCGATCGCTTCTTGGACTGCTTCCTTTGCTTGGCGGCGCCCAGCTTGGAGTGACTGGCAGCCATCTTGGAGCGACTGGCAGCCATCTTGGAGCGACTGGCGACCAGCTTGGAGCGACTGGCAGCCATCTTGGAGCGGCTGGCAGCCATCTTGGAGCGACCGGCGGCCAGACCGCGATACTGACTGACGCCGCTCGACATCTTGCCGCCGGGCGGCTTGATCGCAGTCTTTCGGTACTTCCGCTTGAGCACCATCTTGCCGCGTCCAGTGGCGATCCCGGGGCCAGTCTTCAGCTGGTGCTTGCTCTTGCCCAGGTTCCTGCCGGACTTGGCTGATTTGAGCGCCTTGTTCAGCTTCCCAGACTTGATTGTCTTCAGCGACTTCATCGACTTGAGGGACTTCAACGACTTGGACGATTTCTGCCCCTTAACGGGCTTACTCTTCGACTTTGATCTCTTGAGCGTCTTCGGCGCTGCGAGCACGGCACCGCCAGTGGCCCGCTGTGCTATGGGCGTCACCGAGTACTTGGGCAGCATTGGGGGCGTGGCGTTCAGGGCGCGATCCGCCTTCGCAACCGACTCAAAGTTGCCGAACACCTGCCGCACATTGCGATTGACGTGCTCCAGATACTTGAGCGAGGCATTGCACACGCTGCACTTGTGTGTGGACTCCGTGTTGTTGCGGATGAGGCTCTCCAGGTAGAGAAAGTTCTTGGCCAGGTTCTCGCAGTAGGGGCACTTGTGGGACATGGCGCCGCTCAGCTGGGTGTCCGTGGCGTTTATTGTGGGATCGTAGAAGCCCGGCTTCTGCATGTTCTGAACCGAATTGTTGGGCACAACGTAGTCTTTTGCTGGCTTCTTTTTATCCAAACCTATCATTTTCCGTAATACCGAAATTTTGCTAACCTTCAGAGGCTTCGACTGTTTCTGTTTCGTTATCGGAAATCAAATGAAATAAAATGGAATAATGTTAGTGCGTGAAGGTCAAGCCAACGGAGAAGTCTGTTCTAATTGTCATAGCACACCTGGCTCATGGTTTTTGCTTGATTTCGAAATTATATAACTGTTTTTTTTGTTTTGTTTTGGTTTGTTTTTGTTTTGTTCTAAATGAGTCCCGTGTCGGCTGTTGCTTGACTGCTTTCTGCCTACTACTGAGCCTGACAGAGTTTTGACATTGAAAGCAAATATTGCTGCTCCCATTTTTTGTTTGTTGTTTTGTTTTTTTTTTTGTTTGGTTTTTTTTGGCAGCTCAATTAATCTCAATCTCTTGCTCATCAAAGGCCGGGGCCATTTGTCCGCAAATCGTCAACCTTGTCCTGCTCAATTATCGATCAAATAAATTGCAGCGAATATTTAAGGACTCGCTCCAAATTAATTTAAACGCTGCCACTGCTCCCTCCGCGCAACCCTCACAATACAAGGGTCGACCAGTCCGACCAGTGGCCATTCCGTTCCCTTGCCTTGCCCTGTCCTGCCTTCTTTACTGTGTGTATCGCTTGGGTCCCCTGCTCGTTTAATTTCTATTTCCTTGGGCACAATTAGCGATAATCAGCTCGCAATGGCAGCCAGCGTTTTGTTGTCGTTGAATCCTTCGCCTTTTCCATTCCCATTCCCAATCCCAATCCCCACTCGCATTCGCATTCGCATTCTCATTCCAATTCTCCCGTTCGCCATTCTCCATTTTCGTTTTCGTTTTTGTGCTGTATTTGGGTCAGTACGCTGCGATGTGCACAATAATTTATTTCATTTCAAGATTTAATCGGGCGAAATTTTAGTTTGTCGTGTCGTTTGTTCTGCTCTGTGCTCTCTACGCTCTATTGTCCGGCTAACACATTTTTAAATGCCCTCTTGGACAATGGCTGACCTTGGGACCTACCACTCTGATTGCAGCCAAATGATGTAAGTGTATGGCGGAAATGGCCCAAATGGCTAATTAGATGTCATTTTGGGGGGAAATTAAATACATTTTATTATGCCAATGCCCACACAATCAATACCAGAAGAAGCTTCTTTATATTTTCTTTTATTTTATTTTATTTCCATTGAAAATGAATAAAAATGGTATACAATATATAAAATATGGTATATATTTTTGTTAAACTTTAAGTGGATTTCCATTGATTTGATACAAGTTTTATTCCACCAAGCAGAAATTTATGTGTGTTTACAATTCAATACTCGCTGGATGTCTCTCTCTTTGACTCCATCTTTATGCCGTATGTATCCCGAGGAATATCCGTCAGTTGCCATCCATTAAATTGCTCTGTTGTCTGTGTGTGTGTGTGTGTGTTGCGCACATCCATGAGATGACGATGCGGATGCGGCAGACAACGCCCACGCCCACGACCATAGCTCCACAGACAATTCCCTGCGACACATAACTTCCAATTGAAAATATCTTAGAAAAGTCAAACACAAGTGCAAATGCCAATAAAACAGCACTGCTCTGGGGATGAGGAGGAGCAGGAGCAGGAGCAGCACGAGGAGCAGTGGATTCGCACACCCAGCCCAACCCCATACAATGTCGTTGTGGAGCTATAAAGTTGATTGTTCATAAATGTACGGGGCGTATACGTAATGTCAGGCACTGCACTAAACCAATGCACGACTCTCTGCACACAGAATGCAGCAGGGTGGGCAGGGACTGAGGCAGGGCGGCCATCAAGGGTGGTGCTGCTGCTGCTGCTGCTGCTGGAGAGTGCAGCCATAAAGTGCCAGAGTAATGAATTTATTAAAAGCCCAGTTTGTTAAGCAACAGCCACAAAAGTGAAAAAGTGAAAGGCAAAACGTTTGTCTTGGCATGGCCCAGCCCCAAGCTTGGTCCGGCCCTGCCCTGGCCGGGCCCGGTATGTTGGCCAAGTTTACCTAAATAGATTTCCATTATTCCGTATTCGTGCCATGCATGCGACTCAACCAAAATGTTAGTGTTAATGCTAATGGATTTGTGCCAAGTTCTCGCCCGTACAATGTTCGCTCACTGATTTATTCGTGGTCAAAAGCGGGACAGCGATTTCCATTCTTTTGTCGCTGTTTGTTTTTTTCCATTGTTGTACCCTTGCAGCGGGTATTGTGAAATGGAGAGAAGGTAGCGCCATAGAGCCTCACAGAGTCCTCACTGCTGTTTCCAAATTTCGTGCTATTAAATTAACATTTTTTTTCTTCTGTTTTTTTGATTCTGATTAAAATATAAACAATCCAGCTGCTAGGGTATTTAGAGCTTTGGCATTTGTTTCTCCTGGTTTTTTTTGTGGCACACTTCTGTACGCTTTTATTTTCGTCTCATTGGCGCTGCTAACTTTTGACCCACAAAGGTTGCCGCTTTGCCGTGTCCTTTCCCCGCTCTAACGACTTCCTGAGCAGCGACGTTGACCGAGCAAGTCGCTGCACTGCACAGACGTCTTGGCCAACAGAAATTTGCATGCCGTCGTCGGCGTTAACGTTTTGACTTTGACGTCGAAGGCGACGGCGACGGGGACGGCGCTGCGAGCCCGCCTTGTTTATTCTGTTTGCCTTTCGTGTTACGTGTTTATCGCCTGCAAATGGCGATTCTTTGGGCGAAAAGTGAAAGCCGTCGCGCCGCCTCTGGCTTTCCTGGGGCTTTGCTGTCTGCTCTCCTTAAAGTTTGCTCAACTTGGCTTTGCCCCACTGTCGACTCGTCAGTTGGTCGAGCGGGTGGGTGGCTGGCTTTGAGTTCAACTTGCACGGGCATTTCAATATCAACAGAGGCATGCAAATTTGCTCGCAAGTGTTCCATCGAAAAAGTGTGTCCATGTGTCCATGTGTTGGTGTGTGCGAGAGTGCGGCAGGAGAGTGGGCCTGGCTGCTTTGTGCCACATTTGAAAGCGTCGGAAAGCAGGTCAACTTCATTTTTCGTGCTGACCGACAACCACAACGATGGGGCAACACAGAACAGCAGCAGCAGCAACAACAGGCGGTTGCTGGTTTCTTGTTCTCGTTCGTGTTGTTGTTGCTGTTGTTTGATGTGCGAAAGCCGCAAACACAAATTAGCACAACAACAACAGCGGCGGCAGCGGCAGCGGGCAGAGGTGGCACCAACAACGCGTCCATAATTTCCTTTGCAACACTTCGCCTCTGCCCCACACACACACACACACACTTGCATTGCAGGAGGCTCTGCTTTGGATTCGCGTTTTTGGTTTTAACTGCCTTCTGGTTGGGGGGTTTTTTTTTTTATTGTTATTATTTTGTTGTTGCTGAAGCCGCCGACGTCGCTGCCATCGTCGCCTTCTTTGGCATAAAGTCCAAAGTGCAAATGTTTTGCGGTCAGTTTGGATTCGAAGTTGGCCAGAAACGCGACGCGACGCGTCGTCATCGTAGCCATCGTCGCACCTGCTCTGCTCCCTTGCCAGCTTGCCAGCTTGCTGCAGCAGGCTTAGTGGCCAGAGCCAGAGCCAGAGCCAGAGCCTCTTACATACATTCAGCTTTTGTGCTTTGCATTCTTCCCAGCCACTCGCATGGGCTGCGGTTTTTTTCCTGAATTTTTCACCCAGTTCTGTGGTCCCGTCCATGAAATTCATTTGGAGTTTTTGTTTGTTGTACCTGTACCCCAGCCCACTCACACACAGAAGAAGCTACACAGCAGAAGCAGGTGGCACATCCCGTAGAAAGCGTTAATCCTGCCACACTATGTCTGAGAGGAAAAGCAATTACCAGTGAATACAGCCGACGAGAGTGTGGCTGGTGTGGCATCCACACGTTCTGAAGAAAGACTCTGCAGAGAGTTCCTTAAAGCGGCTTTAACCTGTTTCCCCGAGTAAGTAAAAGTGATTAAATTGTTAAGAGAAGGCTGCATATTTTCCTAGCATTAGTTCGTAAATAAAAAACATAAATTCAGCGAGTTTGCCAGCTGAAACTAGGCCTAGAAAAGTCTCGCAATTATATGTTCCTCCGTTAATATTTTAAATAACCTCCAAGCTGTCATTTATTTCACTTTTTGGCTCTCTCTTTAAACTGCTGTGCCACAGCAATTTAGCTGGCGGGGCTGGCTAACAGACAAAAAAATCTTCGAAAAGCGCTTTATGAATTTTATGCTAATAAAATTTATGGCACAGCCAAAAAAAAAAATACTTGTATTTACTCACAAATTCGTACATACTCGGTACACATTTTGAAAACACACACACACAAACGAAATATTTATAGTGCTCGCTGCAATTTCTCATAAAAGTTTCCGTTTTTCGGGGAAAATGTGGAACGGACAGGCCGTCCGTCCAGCAGCAACGAATAATAAAAACAAGAAAAACAAAGCAAATTGTGAACAGTTTAAACTTTTGGCTCGCTCTCCCACCACCACCACCCGCTTTATGCCCGATAAGTATGTGGCAAAATTCTGTGTGCTGCCAATTGGCAGCAGGAAATTTAAAGCGCTGCCAAGATGCGCAGTGGAGGCGTTTAGTGTGATATTATCACCTGCCTGCTTTGGATTGCTACACGCCCCATGGGTGGGCAATGGGTGTGCAGATCATAAAATCTAAAATAATTTTATTTGCCAGCCATGATGGGCTATGTGTGATGTGAGGCGGGTGTCTCAGTCTTCTGGTTACAGCTTTTTACGCATAGCCACACAGTCGGTGGAGAGAGCGAGAGAGAGAGAGAGAGAGCTCGCAAGGCATTTTAGCTAAAAGCATTTCAATGCTGTTAACTATTTTTGATGGCGATACGCACTATAAACCCTACAGAGTAGTGCAAATTTCAAAGCTCCTTACTCTCGTGCCTGTGTGAGCGTAGTTGGAATGAGCATCTCAATGGAATTGAAACACTTAATTTGCTCACCCTTTACATACATACATACATACATATACGTATACGTACATATGTATACGTGCACCTTGAAGATAATGAGACAAAGCCGCTTAGCGATGCATGGATGCGCCTTTGTTGCGGCTTCAGTTGCGGGTGGATAGGCGAGGACAGCCACGTTAATGAAAAAAAATTTAATTGCAATGGCTGCCAGGACAAATTAATTGTGTCGCCAGTGAAAGATGCAGCGCCAAAGGACACACACAGCCAGCTAGAGCACACACAGATATGGGGAGTTGCCCAACGCGCGCGGGGGGCTCAATTGAACCCCATTGAAAGGTGTCAGCAATTAAGTGAAATCAGCACTTGGCATGCCGCATGTTCCCCACA